TTTTTTGGTACCAGGGATCGAACTTGGGTCCTTGCGCTTGCAAGGCAAGCGACGGAACCACTGAGCTAAATCCCCGGCCCCATGTAGAAAATTTCTTAATGCGTTGATATTTTTCTTAAATGTATTTAAGATAAATTTCCAGAAATAGAATTAGTGAATCACAATGTTTTCATATTTTTAAGATTTTTGGTACATAATGCCACATAGTGGTCCAAAGTTCTATCATCTCAACAAGCAGCATCTTAATGAGGCCTTCTGCTGTGGGTGGGCCATGGACAGGGTCATGGGGCTGATGCTTTCTTTATGGTTCCTCTACAGGATATGGTGCCTGTCATAGTTGATTACTGTCTTCTGCTGCAGAGAAAGTGAGTATGCATCACCTGCCAAGTGCAATTATTTTGAACTCAGGTAGCTTCTTTTTTATGTACAGTTCACTGCCATGAATGCTATAAATTTGACTAGATAGGTTTTTTTTAAAGTTAGAGAAATTTGATTCTTTAATAGTTTTCAGTCCATTCATCTAATAAAATTAACCTTTCTGCAACAGGTATTTATGAGTATGTCTTTGATGTATTTGAGTGGCACACTAATGGAAGCAAAGAACATAGCCAACAAAAGAGCAGTACTACTTAGAGATCTTAAAAGTAAAAAGTATATGATTTGCGGACTATATATTTCTCTTTTTAAAAAACTTATATTCTTTTATGAACTCTCACTAAAATCCAGTAGTTCATAGCATCCAAAAAAGGCTAGATTCATTTTGTTTAAAAGATATCAGTATAAAAAACTCTTGGTTAGCCTTTGTTGATTTAAATAGTAACTATATAAATTAAGCAACATGTGCTAATTCAGTTTTTCAAACTCATAATATTTAGAACGCTGTCCTTTACATATTCATTTACCTAATCTTGTAGCAACATATCTATTATAATAATAAGGTAGGTAGTAGTCCTTATTTTAATTTTTATTAGTGCATGTCTTTAGTACATAATGTTTCCATTCCTTGTGTGCAGTTGGTACCTGTATATAACATGTCTTAATTCCTTTTTTCATCCCCTTTCCCTCTCTTCTTTTCGCCCTCCCTCCATCTCCTGATCCTTTCCCACTTGAGAAAGATCTCTGTCCCTACTTACTATATCTATCTTTTATTTTGCTCTTTATTTATAATTTGGGTTCTGGAGTAGAAAATGATTAATCAAAAACTTACTCCCATAGCTTTTCAGGTAGCAGAGGTGAGATTCAAACACAGGAGTCTAGCTTCTGACCTCGTACCACTTTCTAAGTGGTAGAGAACCAGTGTGAAGATCTAATGCAGATACCCCTAAAACCCCATACAACACTGTATTGACTCATGAATTTATACATATTTCAGTAGCCAGGTTCCTGAAAGGTTGGATCAGACTTTGAAAGTATCAGTGGGCTATAAGGAGGGCAGTTATTTGCTGTGTCAGACCTTTGACTAAATCACAGTTAGCTAATTGTTTCTCCTGACTTGGGACTGAAATAATTTATTCCAGCATTTTAAGTATCATGTTATATGTAATTTGTGAAATATATTATATTTATGGTAGGGATTTTGTTGAGAATGTTATATTATACAGTATATTGCAGTCTTGATAAGGACCTAAGGGAGAAGTTTCTTTTAGATGATAGGGCCAGAAATACCTTTACAACTTTGAGCCACCAGTTGACATTTAGCTGATGGATGATAAATTGGGTAAGCTAATCACAGCTTTATAGAAGACAAGGCACCATGATAACCTGTCTTTCTTAACCTAGTCTTTTCTTTATTCCACTTTTCACATTCACTTTCTTGTCATTTATCTTGTATTTTAAAAAATATCCTTAATAGGGCTGGGGATTTAGCTCAGTGGTTTCAGCGCCTGCCTCGCAAGTGCAAGGTCCCGAGTTCGATCCCCGGTACAAAAAAAAAAATCCTTACTAGTTTATAGATCAGTTTTATATATATTTTATTTCATTTAATCCTTGTAATTAAGAGAGGAAATGTCCTCATTTATAGATAAGGAAATGACAATAAAGAAATGTTCCTTATAAAGTGATGAAATGAAATACCTGAAAGAGTAAATTTTATTCAGAATAAGAGAACATATTCTACTCTAAATAAAATGGATTACTTCCACCTAGAGTGGTACCTGGCGCAAAGTAGCTGTTCAGTATTTGATGAGTGAATTAACTAAATAATTCTGGTTTGCAGGTGACTCGTGATCATTATCTTGAACATTTGAATGCTCTTACAGTGGCATAAAATCAAAATGGACCTAACAGTTGTAAAATGAAGGATAATATATGGAAAAAGAAAAAAATAGGTTCTCTCTTTCAGAATTATTTTGTGTTATTCCCCAAAATGTTCTGATTATAAGCATTTCTTCTATGTGATTTGAAAGAGCAGGTATTTTCCAGCCTAACTCAACCTACTGACTGGTTGAGAAGGCAATAATGCCTCCATTAAACCATAGCATATACTATAGAAGGTAAAAATCTTATCTAGATTTTCACCAAGTTAGCATATGTTTATTTCTTTTTTGTTTTAATCAACTTCTTTCCTTTAATTTTTCTGACTTTTTAGAATGTTTTCTTCTGGGATGTGCCCAAAACAAATGGAACTTTTGTTATTGGAGACCTCAGGGAGAAATACCAGCAGCTGTAGTCTATTCTCAACCTCCTAGGGGAGAGGGCTCTCAAGGGTCCTTTGTTTACCTCATTTGGTCCTTTTCATAGTTCTTCCCTCCTTTTCCATGGATCACAGTAAAGATGGTATAGACTTCTTGTCTCTCAGCAGCCTAGATTGTACTAGATTTGGAAATGTCCCAGAATGTGTGTTCTTTTTCTTTATCTCCTAGTCTCTTCCCCCACTTCTACTTTTTGGGGCTGACTTTCCAGCCCTTTCTCTCTTAAATTTTTCATTTTGAGACAGGGTCTTACTAAGTCGCTAAGTTGCCCATGCTGAGCTCAAACTTTTGATCCTCCTGCCTCAGCCTCTCAGAGTGTTGGGATTATGGTTGTACACCACTGCACCCGATTTATTTTTACTTTTGTAAGGGGACTAGCCCAAATTGACTTTGAATTTATTAAACCTCACTTATATTTACTGGGAATTAACTTACTTGATTGTGGCTGTATATTTAGTATAGATTGGCAAGTACTCTGACTGATGATAACCCACCTCCCTGTGAACAGTCTCTGAATTTGTAATTTTCTCATCATCAAAGCTATTTGTCACCTTTTAAAAATTATAAAATTGATGTACAAAGTGAATTTAACCATTTTTCTCTATTCGAAGTTTGAATGATAAACTCAGCAAACTCCAGAAATTATATTTACTGTGTGTATTAGTCAAATGAAGTTTATAGAAAGATCTTCAATGGCTTTCTATTATTCATGATGGCCTTTCTGTTATACTGGCTAGAAGAGGCTAAACTTGAAATGGTAAACAGTAGGGTTGAAGTCAGCCCTTCTACAAAACAAAGTCAGCACCCAGGAGAATAATCTCTAAATATAGAAAGAAATGTGAGAGCTAAAAATTATTTTTGTGTGTACTTTTCTCACTCCCTCCTCTTCTGCTACCCTAATAAATATTCTCTGGGAATGATGAGACGATGTCTTAGAATTTTGTTTCATTTTTATTTTGAGGTAGAAATGCAAGTTGGAGTTGCTGAGTCTTTTTTTATTTCTTTATTATAACCTCTAATTGGTTAAGAAAAAAATGTGTGGTCTTCTGATTAATCTTATCAAGATTGCATGATGCTTTGTCACAGGAGTGCCTTTTCTGTCAACTTTTGTGCTTTATTTACTGAATTTTTAGCTTTCTTTAATTCTCTTTCCCAAGGCTTTTTGTACTGAACTGGAATATATAATTATCTTTCTTAGCCTGTTGTTCTTAACAGTACATTGCATAGTACAACGGCGAGCCAATATAACATTTTCTGTGAATTCATTAGAGTTATTTTGTTAGTCTGACTTTTTCTTATAGTAAAGCTTCATTAATCTCAGGCTTTTTTGCTTGAGTCGTAATTGGTAATCACAAAAAATGTGTTGAACTATTGATTAAGATGAAGCTAACATGAAAAATACTGTGATAAATGTGAAGCCAAGGGGAAAATGATGGAAAATTACATTTGAGAAAAAAGTAGATATGGATTTTACCCCAGGATATTTCAAATGCTGTTTATTGAAAGATGGCACGTGATTCTGCTGTAGTCACCGCCAGACTGTTTCCCATTTGTCCCAGCACTTCAGATGAGGCAAAACCCCTTCCCACTCCTTCCAAGAGCTTCCTTGATCTTGTGGAACTTGTCATGTGGATAAACCATCTGCCATTTTCCACAGTAGACTTGATACCATAAAGTATGTATTAGATAAAATAAATCAGTGATCCTAACTGGTAAATAGAATTAGCATAGTTTTTGTATTAAAAAATTGAATGAATGAATAAGTGAATGATAGAAGACAATACAATTTATAAATGAACACAATGGAAAATACTCAATTTGGCCTTTTATCAAAGAATTAAAAACAATATTGTTATTTATTTGTACTTATTAAATTGTCAGAGAAAAGAACTCAAAATTTTCCAAAATGGGAAAGACTATATACATATATTCATTGTGACATCACTCAAAATACTAGAAATAGAGCCGGGGAATTTAGCTCAGTGGTTCTGCTGCCTGCCTCGCAAGCACAAGGTCCTGAATTCGATCTCCGGTACCAAAAAAAAAAGAGGGAATAATTTAGGGCCGGGGATTTAGCTCAGTGGTTCTGTCGCCTACCCTGCAAGTACAAGGACCCGAGTTCGATTCCCAGTACCAAAAAAAATCCAAAAACAACAACAAAAATACTAGAAATAAGTGACATGTCCAGTACCACAGGAATAGTTAAGCAAATCCTGATGTCTCATCATATTGAAGCCTTTTGAATAATTTTAAAGAATACATAGCTGCAGAGAGAGGGAAACTGTTGTACACACTTTTGTTGGGAATATAAATTAGTACAGCCAAAATGGAAAACAGTATAAGTACTCAAAATTTAGAAATAGAACTACCATGTGATCCATCAGTTCTCTTATTAGGTATATGTCCAAAGGCAAGGAAACCTGTGTTGAAAAGATATGGGCATTCCCACATTTACTACGGCACTAATCACTATAGCCAATACAGAGAATCAACTGAGGATTTATCAGCAGATGAATGGATAAAAAAAATCTGATACACACACCTCACACACATTCACACACCTCACACAGGAATACTGTTTAGCCATAAAAAGAATAAAATTCTGTCAATTTGTAGCAACATGGATGAGCCTGGGATATGACACTAAGTGACGTATCAGTCACAGGCAAATACAGCACGTTCTCACTTATTATGTGGAAGCTGAAAACAATTGATCTCATAAGAGTAGAGTGAAATAGTGGTTACCAGGGGGTTGGAAAGGGTGGGAGGGGTAGGAGGAATGGAGAGAAGTTGGTTACGCTGTATACCAGTGTAGCTAGATTGGAGAAATAACTTCTAATGTTCTGTAGCTCAGTAGAACAACTGTGTTTGACAAATAATTATATGCTATATTTCAAAATAGCTAATAGTTGGAAAACACAAAGAAATGATAGGTGTGTGAGGTGATAGATATGCTAGTTACCCTGGCATGATCGTTATATGCCATATGCCTGTACAGAAATGTCATAATGTAGCC